ATCACTGATTATAAAAGGAATCTTTCTTTTAGATAAGTTTATATTGTTGAATACTGTTATCTAGTATTAGTCGTGCTGGAGTACCAGTTTATATGACCACACTTGATATCTTCAATTAAATGGTTTATGTGACATTATAGTTAAGTGAATTATCATTTAATTACATGCAATTGTTATCAAAACTGGTGCTGACACTAGTTATTATGAATAGAATTACTCTATATTGTTTTATTTGAAATCAAAGAAGAAATTAGGTCTCGTATTGACCAAACATGGTTATTCTTATATATTAATTCAAATCATCATTTTGACAAGTAGTTAACATAATGTCACACTACATGTGATTTCTGCGATTCATGTTTCTTGTTCTTCTTGTCAAACCAATAAATATGAAATTAAAATTCCAAGCCTCCATTTGAGAAGAATTTATAAATAATTTAATTTATAAATAGATAAAAATGAGTGGCGAACATGTGAACACTACTTTTGGATTCATTAGAACTTATGATTGAAAATAAAAAACTAAATTAGAAATTGGGGTCTAGCACCTTGTAATTATTTGAAATTGGCGCTATCACCATTCAAATCAAGAAATATTTTATGGCAATTATTAGCATTGGATGTTTCACACTCTCTTGTCAACCATTTACGCACTTGGGTAAGTCAAAATCTTGGACGATTGTGAAAGAATAATTGATGTAGGTGGAAAGTATGGCTAGTTTAATTGTACAAAAAACAAAGATGATGTTTTCAGAAAAAATAAAAAAAAAAAAGATTATTGAAAGATACATGTAACCAAGTTTCTAAAATACCTACTTTGAAAATTTATATGAATCTCGTACATATTTTTCAAGTTTTCAATAAAAATATATTTCTCAAAATCATAAATACTCCAAAATTAATAACGCTTTGTTCGTAGATAGAGAAAACTATATTCATAGGCTGGTTTGGACTAGGATGAGTTTTTTTTTTTTTTTTTTTTTGGGACTTATTTCTTTTTTAAGTTTTAACGATAGTTATGGTGTGTTTGAGCCACATTATTTTGGAAGAATGTATTCTAAAATAGTAGATTGATAGAGAATTTTTGGTTGAAAAAGAAGGAAAAGTTATTGATGTGATGAAGAATATTATTTTTTAAAGAATGTGTGGTTGAAAATGAGTAAATGAATGAGAATGAAAATTATAATTTGTACCAAACAGGAGCTTAATCATTTTGTTGAGTTCGACTTCATAACAAGCAAACACCACTTGCAAAAAAATAAAAAAATAAATGTATGCGGCCTTGGCAATCAACATTGAGTTAACTTCTATTTTCCGCCTATGCACAAGTCTGAATGTTTTCTCCTATCCCTTGACCATAGATCGACCTTTTAAAACATTGCATGTAACTATTACACCTATCAAGACCTCTCTGAATTATTGAAGGTTGTAAATGAAATTTCAGATTCGTTCAAGTTCAGTAACATAGAATCTTGTGTCGTAGGGCTCACGTCGAACTAGCCGAAGAATACTTAAAAATCGTAAAAAAAAAAGAATCAGCGGTATCACCAAGTTTACTTGTTTTATTCTTTTTAAAGAAGAAATTTATTACTATTTATTTAATTAAATTTTGGCCCTTTAACGATTGACCTTTATTGAATCAATATTTGACTAGTTTCCAAAACATAGGTAAAAACTCATTAACTAGCTCAAATTTTTTTGAATTATTTTAAAACTTGTTTAGATTGGTATACGAATATGTATATACTCACATTCGTAATTTCCAAAATTGCTTAAACCAAAGCATGTTAACTCGATTTAGTAGGCTCGATTACTTCTTCAAACTCTATCACAATCTTTAGAACATATTGCAAATATACTTTGACTCGTCTCATTATTCTTTGTACTACCGTTGCTTAGCATTGAAATCACGCTGCACAAACTAAAAAAACCCAAAATGACCACAAATTGGCTGTCCAACCCGCTAGGAAAGAAGTCAAAATCTACATGCCGTAAAGTAATATTGATAGAATTTTCCAACTGAAGTATGGGTGCAATTGTCAATGCGTGTAGTCAATCTATTTTCATTGCATTACGCATAACTTGGTTTTTCTAAAATGCAGGTCAATCCAAAAGTAGAAAAAGTAGTAACAACTGTTGTAGCATTTCATCAAAGAGTTTTAGTCATGAAGATTATATTTATCTTCGACACGGCTCCTATTTACTGTAAGCTAGATTAATTTTTTGTTGAATACTCGATATATAATTTTCTTCATGAATAAGTTTGAATAGGTAGGTATCTGGCCTAAAATCTTATTGCAAATTTCTCAAGTTGAAAGAGTCTCGTGTTAGTCTCGTGTTATGAAGTGACATAAATATTCATTTCATCGATCTCATATCAAATTATATAAATCAAATCGCTATTTAAAAAATACGAGAATTCTGAAAAGAAGTATCCACTAGTCGAGAAAGTTAATCACGTGTGTGAAAGTGTGAAATGGGATCCAATTAATTGAGATATGATATTCCTTGCCTAAAAAAGGCAGGGCCCCTGAATCAAAAGCAAAACATGTGATTGGATTCCCCGCGTTGCTTTGGCTTCAACAAAGTTGAAATCATCTGATTGTGATAGACCGTTCATACGAAAAGTAAGGAATTGAACTCATTTGCTCATAGTTTGGATTGTCATGAATTGTGACCACAAGATTTCACTTTATAAATTATGCCCTGATCGATGGAAATTAAAGTTTAAATTTTAATATAAGTTAAAGTCAAAAATTAATTTTAATAATGCATTTTATGGAATTCACAACTTTTCAATCATACATTTCATCAACTTTTATCAAAATATAATAAAATGTCTAATTTTAATTTCCACCTTATTTAAAATGTTAGGAAATGTGTAAATTATTTTTTATATTTTGCCTCTATTTTGTGGGGATTAAAATCAAAATCAAAATCAAAGTTAATAATTAATTTCAACTACATATTTCATAGAATTCACAACTTTTCAACCACATATTTCATCAACTTTTAATAAAATTTACTAAAAATCTTATTTTAATCCCTCACCAAATAAAGACTTTATCTTTAACAATATTACTAAATTCACTATATCGTTAACATACATGTTTGGTAATAAATTCCAGAGAAAAAAGTTCTAATAAAAGCTTCATACCTAAAAAGTCATTTAAACTTACCTTCCAATTACTTATTTTATCAAACACGACTTTTAAGATTATTTTTGGATAAATGTCATCAAATGTTATCAATCATTGGTGGTGGTAATTACTCCGTTTTATCGCAATTGGCTCATTTGAATTATTGTCCAATGCACTAAAATCATCAAAAATGAGTTAAATAATGAATATAATAATGCTATTTAACACCATTTTATGTGGCTACTCTTTATAAATTCAATTAAATGAGTCACATGACTTTATATTTAAATGAATCTATCATTTAATATCATGTAATCGTAATATAAACTGGTGCTTAACACCAGTGATGATGAATATCATTACTCTAATGAATAAGGTGTCCACTTATCACATAAACTAACATTAGTTGGGTTTTTAGACTAATAACTTTAAATGGGACGTTGTTAGGAATTCAAGCAGGTGATATGGTGTGATATGAAGTATAGATTGCACACACTAATAAACAAAAACAAGATTTAAAAAAATGCAAACAAGAAATTGGCAGAGGAATCGAATATTTTATTAATGACAACCAATGGAGAGAAAATACAACCTCCAGCAATTTCTGCAATCTCAACTGAATGAAGAGTCTACCATGTATATGGGACATGTCAAAACCCTAGAATTAACCTAAAATATGAAAACTAGATTAAAAATCGCGTAAAACCGAAAAAGAAGGAAAAAAATCCATGGCCTGTCGCTCGAGCAACAGGTGGGGGACGAACTCCCTGTTTCAATTTTACTCCTATAGCTAGAGCTATAAGCGGGTGTCCGTCCATCACCGTCAATCCTCCTTTTTCTTTTCTTCTTGGACCCTATTTTGTCATCTTCAAGTCCAACACTCCACAACGCGAAACCCTAAACCCAATTTGGACCGGATTTGGGTCACAAAACCCAACAGATGTTCGAAAAATAAAGTGGGGTAACCAAGTCAAAGCACACCAGTGAAGTTAGAGAACGTTGGAAGATAGAAAAGACTAATTAATACTATTCATGTGTCTATAGTCGTAAATATGTCACTGTCATATTCTCAAATAAAATTTGACTGTACTTTATACATATTAAATGTCACAATATGCTTGTGTTTGGGAGTGCTTTTCTCAAACCAAAATCAATTTTTGGGTCAAATCACAACCCACCTTTGCATGTTTTGTAGAGAAATGGAACAAAAAGGACCGTTTTATCCTCCATGACATGTGCAAAGTTTCTACTTTCTCTCACCTCAAATTATCACCACCTTTGACCATTTCACAAAGGCTTGCGTCCTCTGAAAATGTGGTGCGTGGGCCTGAGTGTAAATGAGGAGGGTAAATTTGGGAATGGGGGTGTAAATGGCGTTAGTTAATACTACAAAATTGTCAGAATTTTTTCAATTAAAAATTGTACAACGATCGAGTCCAAATTATAAAAGTTGGTGCCCCCGACAGGTACTTATCATATAAACTCGAATATCATTACTTAGAAGAACATGGAGCCACAAGTCGGTAGGGTACAAGAATACGTAGTGGGAAATGCCAACGGAATCATAAACAACTAGATATATGTATGCGTGCGTCTCTCTCTCTCTCTCTGTTGGTTTTTTCTCCATTCTCGGCTATAACACCCAATTGGCATTTCCCACTAAGTATTCTAGTTGTTTATGATTCCCATATATAGACCACCACCACCACGTTTATTATATATCTCTCTCTTTACACACACACTCCACCGTTGTTGCTTCACTCAACAACCAACAATTTGGGTCATCCAACTTTTCTTGAATTCAATCTTATTATATAATCTCTCTCTCTCTCTCTCTATATCTATATCTATCTATATATAATGTTGGGGAGAAGAAACGCAGGGTTGATATTCGCATTTGTTGTGGGCGTTGTGCTCCAGATAATGATATGCTGTGGACAGAACATTAGCAGAGCAAGTTTTCCGAAGGGTTTTGTTTTTGGGACGGCATCTTCTGCTTATCAGGTTAGTTTATTCCGACTCTCTTTCTGTTTAACATGCACCACACATTATGTCCTTGTTTCATTAAATTTTGCTAAATTTTATCGACTTTTCAATTGGTCAAACATCAATTCTAATCACATATTTCACGGGAATAAAGTTTTTATCAACTTTTTAATGGCACATTTCATCAGCTTTTATCAAAATTTGTTAATGTAAATTCAAAATTTTTCCTTATTTTTTAACCCGCATTTTTCAATACACATTTTCTTCAAAAATCTCATTTTCATGGGGCCAAACAGGAGTTTAATACGCGCACGTATGTATTCTCCTTATCGCTTTAGAGATTTTCAAGAAATTACAATGTCACTTTCTCATTCACGGTTTGGATTTTGCATCGTCTCCTTTTGCTGTCATTTATACCTTTCCGTGTGCCTTTAACAAAGTTTGTCCCACACGTAAACGTGGCTTGTAATTTCATTACATAGTAATTTGGAATTGATTTTAACGCTTCAGACATCTCCCATATGTTGTTCTGGGTAGAACTGTACATGAAAATGGAAAAACATCTTCGCCTTTTTTTTTTTTTTTTAAATATACTATAAATAAAACAAATAAAATTTTATTCTAAATTTTTTTGGAGCATTACACAGATACTGAGGAATACATTATCCCCACTGTGATGCTCTTGTGATAAGGGCATTTGTGGCCCGAAATGGGTTAAAACGGATGTTGATCGATAATGGCAGTTCCGTTAATATCTTATTTGGGACCACCTTCGACAAAATGATTGTCGATCACGAGGTAACCTCCATCACAACCCCTCATATATAGCTTCACCGGGGATAGCATCACCCCACGGGGAAAGATCACCCTTGCCGTGGAGATGGGAGAGTCATCCCAAACAACTTTAAATTTCATGGAATTCCTGATAGTGGATGGCAGGTCAGCTTACCACGGGGTGCTAGGGAGGCCTGCTCTGAAAGACTTATAGGCAGTCACTTCTATTCACCACTTATGTATGAAGTTTCCCACCGATCAGGGGATTTCCACTGTGAAGGGTGACCAAAGGAGAGCCTTGGAATGCTACCTAAATTTTATAAGAAAAGCCAAACTAAGGAACATCGACATGGTGCTTGTAGACATCCATATGGTAGACGTTCAAGAACAAAATCTTCGGCAGGAAGTGTCGAGATAACAGATGCCACCGAACAACCAACCATGCCCAATGAATTGGATCCACGTATCATTGAGTTTGAACCCCAGACCGCACCGGTAGAAGAGTTGGAAAGTTCCTAGTAGACTCCTAAGATCCCAACAAAAAATTACAAATGGGAAATAACCTGCCACCTGAGGCCAATAAGGAACTAAAGGATTTCTTTTATGTAAAAACCTTGATATTTTTGCTTGGATGCACGAAGATATGATAGGCATTGACCCGAAGGTTAGCTGCCACCACTTGAAAATTGATCCAAAGATAACCTCACACAAACAAAAAAGAAGAGCCCTCAACCCGAAAATGTATGATGCCTTTAAGGAGGAAGTACATAAGTTAATCCAAAACAGATTTATCCAAGAGGCCATCTACCCCAGATGAGTCTCTAACCTGGTACTAGTAAAGAAGCATAATGGTAAATGGAGGGTGTGCATTGATTTTTTCAATCTAAATCAGGCATGTTTGAAAGATAGTTTTCCCCTCTCGAGAATTGACCAACTTGTGGACTCCATCGCTGGACATGAGCTCCTAAGCTTTATGGATACTTATTCAGGTTACAATCAAATTTTCATCCACCCAGTAGATGAGGAAAATACCCCTTCATCACTGATAGAGGTCTCTATTGCTACAAGATGATGCCATTTGGGGTTAAAAAATGCCGAAGCTACCTACCAACAGCTCGTTAACAAGATGTTTGCCAACCTTATCGACAATGTTATGGAAGTCTACATGGATGACATGCTAGTAAAAAGTCTGAAGGAAAATGGTCATGTGAAGCACTTGGATAAAACCTTCCAAACCCTCCGAAGGTATAGAATGAGGTTGGACCCCCTTAAATGCGCATTTGGGTTGCTTCTGGAAAATTCCTAGGGTATATGGTAAATCAAAAGGGAATAAAGGCTAATCCAAAGAAGATCCAGGCATTGATTGAAATGAGATTACCACAAAAGCCCAAGGAAGTGCAAAGTCTTACTAGGAGAATAACGACTATCAATCGTTTCGTATCCAAGGCTACTGATAAATGACTCTCATTTTTCAAAATCTTGAAAGGGGGCAGAATGTTTCAATGGACAGAAGAATGTTAAGAGGCCTTCCAGGGGTTAGAAGCTCTTGGGGCAGGCCCCCTCCTCTCAAAGCCCAAGTCTAGAGAAATTCTACAACTCTGTTTGGCTATTTCTAATGAAGCCATTAGCGCGGTTCTCATACGAGAAGAAGAGGCCCTCCAATTGCCTATTTACTACGTAAGTAAAGCACTACTAGAGCGAAAATTCACTATCTTGACATGAAGAAATTGGCTCAGCACTGATCATAGCCTCTAGGAAATTGAGGTTATACTTTCAAGCTCACACTATACATGTGCTAACCAACTTCCCACTCAAGCAAGTGCTCCAAAAACCTAACGCCTCGGGAAGATTGTTGAAATGGGCTGTTGAGTTCAGCGAGTTTGATATTATCTACAAATCGAGAGCGGCCATCAAAGGTCAGGCCTTCGCCGATTTTGTTGTGAAATTTGCCAATGTCCCAAAGATGGAAGAAATAATGGAACCCACCGAGCCTCCCACTTGGAGTTTATTCATCGATAGTTCATGTAGGAAAATGGGCTCAAGTGCGGGTGTTGTATTAATTAGCTTTGAGGGACACAAGCTCAATTGTGCGGTAAGATTTGGGTTCAAAGCCACCAACAATGCGGCTGAGTATGAGGCACTGTTGGCCGGCCTAAAGTTAGCTAAAGAAATGCAAGTGAAGAGGTTGCTCATTAATAGCGACTCCCAGTGGTAGTTAGCTAGGTTAATGGCAAATTCACCGCAAGGGACAAAGCCATGGCTGCCTACCTCAAGTTGGTGATGGACTTGCTCCCAACTTTTGAAAAATTTGAATTAATGCAGATTCCTCGCATTGAGAATGCTCATGCAGAAGCTATATCCAAACTAGCTAGTAGCAGAGACTCTGAGCTACTAACGACGGTGCCGATCGAGCATCTCTGAGAACCATCCACTTCTAAAGCAAAGCAAATGATGTGGGTAGAAGGAGAGCCTGTAGCGACCGAGAACTTTTAATTAATATAAAATTATTTTTCTTGACAAACGTGTCGCACAACTTTAACTCTAATTTTAAAGAGATAACGCGTTCGTCTAGCCGTTATAAAAACAAATTTAAATCTTTCGATCAAGTTTAAATATCAAATAATTATTTTAGTATCGATTCCGATTTATTTTATTTGGATCCAATTTTAATAATTTCAAGTTCGATATTTAGAGCCCAATATTTATAGTCCAATTTTAATAGCCTAAATCTGGTTATTTCAGCCCAACTAATTGGCCCATCTAAATACCTAGGGATTTGTGCCCTAATATTTTACTATTCAAATATCACCTTCATTCTCCTCATTCTCCCATTCACGCAACAGCAACCTTGGGTAAGGAAATTTCGTTTTTCTTCAATTTTAGTTACTGGAAAATCATGTTGATGCTAGAACCTACATTTCTAGCACCTACAAGATAATGATTCCAATCAGCTGCATCCTCAACAACCAAGCTCACCACTCAAATTGGTGGGAATTCATTTTCCTCAAATCCATGAAAAACCAACCATGTGAGGCAAAAGTGAGTAAATGAATTGCCAAGAAAACTTGGCCAATCAAAGATGCCATTTGGGTTGAAATGAAATTTTTTCTCTTCCATTTTCCATGGAATTTTTGTTGAATCAAATATGGCGTTAATGATTGTATTCTAGAAAGGTCTGTTTATCATTTCCAATGAGAATCCGTGCCATGGTGGGGACATGCTAATGACTTTTGAGCGCGAGGATACCTTCACGAAATATTGAGGGGAATTGCCCTTCCTTTCTACATTTTCTAAAATAAATCCCATATCTTTGAAATGCTTCCATGAATACTAATCAAATTTCTCCTTTGCAAATTCGTGATTATATCTAAGATAAGCACTTGAAACATGCGGCTGGGATAGAGGGTGCCGTATGCTGAATACAAAATTTAGATAATTAAGCCTCTAATTGAAAAATTTATAAATGATTTATAATGAAGAATAACGATTCTCACAAAATGTGTGTATAATATAATAAATCCTTGTTTGGATACCATTAAAATTATAATTTATTTCTCTTTCTTTTACTAATTAATCACACATTTTTCAATAAAATAATATTACACGTAAATCCAAAATTTTTCATTTTTTTTAACTACACATTCTTCTAACCCTAAAATAAAACAATAGATTTCGAAATTGATTGAATGGATCCCCGGGTCCTGTCTCTTATGGAAGAGCGAGATTTCAAATCAAAGATGCTTGTTTGCTTCTGTTCACACTCAATTGAAGACTCAAAATTGCCAGTCTTTTTCCTCAAAAATTAGTTTAAAATTTTACCTGTTTCTAGTGCATTAAGTTTTTTTAATTCTTCTTATGAAATCTTCAAGGGGGATGTATTCAATTGAATCTTTTAATGATTTTTTGGAATTTAAAAAGTTTAGATGTATTCAATGTAGACTTTTAGAGACTCTCTAAAAGTATTGATGTATTCAATTGAGACTTTTAAAGACTTTTAAAAAGTCTCTATAAGTCACGGTGCATTCAGTTAAAACTTTTTAGAAGTCTCTATAAATATTGCGGTATTCAAATTTTTATGACTTTTAGAAACTTTTATAAAAGTCTCCATGTTACTAATTTTTAACCAGAAAATACTCAAATAAAATTTCAAAATTTGTCTCTCATTAATCACAAGATTTTAGGAATCTTTCACAAAAAAATAAAAGAACTAATATGTATTTTTTTTCAATACTTCTCTTTCCTTTTCCCTTCTACAAACATTAGAGTTATGATTTTTTTTATTGATTGTATTCGTTTATATTTTTCTCCCTCTCTTATTGTTTATTTATATTTTCTATGAAAAATTAAATTGTATTTTTATAACTTTTTTTTTCTTTTTTCATTTATCTTTTCTGACAAATATCTATTTTTAATTAAATTATAAAATTTTATATAGACTAATTTATAATTAAATATAAATATATATTTTTTAATCTATTCTTTAAAAGTATAGTATATTAATAATACTGAATATTAAATTTATTTTTTATGTGTATAATAATTATTATTTATTTAATTAAGATCTTAAATTTTTATTCTTTTTAAAATATTTTTTTAATTATATGGAGAGAAAAGGAAGGAGATGGGGAATTGTGAGAACCACCATCTCGTATGTGATAATTTCACAATATTGCATTAGATCCACATAAATTATATCTCAAATGAAAGTCTTCCAAGTCTTTTGAATTCTACAAAAGTCTAAAGTTTTAAAATGAAAGTTTATAAATTCACAAAAGACTTCCAGTAATTCAACACAAATCTCTAAAAAATCCACGAAATCTACAAAAGTCATCGCTTAAAGAAAGTCCATATAAGTCTTTAAAAGTCCCAATTGAATACACCCCCCTAATTGTTCTTTAATTATCAATACAACTTTGCAGTATGAAGGAGCTGTCAAGGAGGATGGAAGAGGTTCAACAATCTGGGACAAATTTGCACATTCCTTTGGTAAAAGTTTCGACAATACTATACAATACAACAACACAAACTTTTAACTTCGTTTTTGCCCTTAATTGAAAATTGTCTTTCGAAAATATATGCAAATGTCCTCATATTGCAGATAATATCATTTTTTTTGTTTTCCATAGGTAAGGTAATTGATTTTAGCAACGCAGATGTAGCCGTGAATCAGTACCACGTTTACTCTGTAAGTTTTCTATGATTAAATAGTACTTGATAGTATTAAGAAATAAAAAAGAACTAAGTTTTTGTTGAATATAAAGTCGAGTACTTCATGTACTGAACAAAGGTAGCACACAACATCTTATGGTTGTCTTAATGCAGGGAGATATACAGCTTATGAAAGACCTGGGAATTGATGCCTACAGGTTTTCAATTGCTTGGTCCAGGATTTACCCTAGTAAGCTTTCTTTCAAAGGACTTCTTTTACATTCAACGCCTAAAATTTGCTCGTTTATTAAAACGCATTCCCTCGCTGCTTCTTAAAAAGAAAAGAGAATAGCTCTTGAATTTTGCACTTTTAGCGCGGTGATGATAAGTCGGTGCCTTGTAAAAGGTTCATATCACCCCGAATCCCGATCATCATACTTTCTCGTGCTTACTAGATTAAGCCCCAATTCCTACTTCCGGGAGAATATCAAACAGAATGTAGTGTCTACAGAGTAGCATTTTCTGCACAATCTCACTGCAAACCCGAGCTGGAAGTTCTCATTATCTGTTTCTGTTATCAGATGGTACAGGGGAAATCAATCAAGCAGGAATTGATCATTACAATAATCTCATCAATGCTTTACTAGCTAACGGTAATCTTGATATACGATCAAATTCAGCTAAATTTTGCTTTTCCATAAAAATTGACTGAAACATGATATTGCATGTATTCAGGCATAGAACCTTATGTGACTATCTACCATTGGGATCTGCCTCAAAGTTTGGAAGACAAATACACCGGATGGCTTGATCCGCAAAGCATGTAAGTAGATAATCTCTTAACTGAATAAAACATGTTCTTTTTGTTTTTGTAATTACTAGGAATTAAGCAAAAAAGAGAACTTGATTTTATTCTTTTAACAGAAAAGACTATGCAATCTATGCCGAAACATGCTTCAAAGTATTTGGTGACAGAGTAAAGCATTGGATTACATTCAACGAGCCTCATACTATGTCTGTACAAGGCTTTGATGTCGGGCTTGAAGCACCGGGGCGTTGTTCCATTCTTCTTCACGCATTTTGCAGGGCTGGAAATTCTGCAACTGAGCCTTATATTGTTGGCCACAACGTGCTTCGTTCACACGCTGCAGCAGTGGACATTTATAAGAAAAAGTATCAGGTAACCATAATAAATGAAATAAAATCTTAAAAATATATAATTGCTTATCGTTCAAGTAGATTAATGTTATTTATTTATTTTTCGTTCTAGACAACGCAACGTGGATCAATTGGAATATCACTTGATTCCTTCTGGTATGAATCAAAAACAAACTCTTCAGACGATATTGAAGCCACACAACGAGCAATAGATTGGAACTTGGGCTGGTAAAGAATTTTATTTGTACCTATTTACTTCAATGATAAATATAGAAAGGGATTTCATTTCAACCTTCAATTATATCTCGAACTATGCTTTTTTTTTTTTTTTTGCCTAAAATTGTTAAACTTTATGTTATATTTTGGTAAGGTAGGCTAGGCAGGATAGAATAATGAAGAAAAAGAAGCTAAATTTTTAGGTCTATTATACTGTTTGTTACTTTGTACCAAATGTGTTCTTAATGGATGTAAGTTTTATACTAATGGTAGAATGTCTTGCTCCAATTCAGGTTTTTGGAACCTCTAATCCTCGGGGACTATCCAAACTCGATGAAAACAAGAGTAGGAAGCCGATTTCCTAGATTTACTCAGGCCGAATCTTCCATGTTGAAGGGCTCCTTTGATTTCATTGGCATAAATCACTACACTACGTGGTATGCTAATGTGAACAATACCAACTTAATTGGTGTTCTGCTGAACGACTCCCTTGCAGACTCTGGCACCTTTACTTTCCGTATGTACTTAACAATGCGCCTCTAAATTTTCTCCTTTCTTTTGGATATGTTTGCACTCTGATTAATCAAAACTCATCAGAAAAAATACTTTTCTACAATTTATTATGTGTTCTACACATGCTGGTTTTTTATCTTAGTTTAACTTCCTGAATTCTTATTGTTTGCAGCGTTCAAAAATGGGAAGCCTATAGCAGACAGGGTATGCACTTAAGAAAATTGAATATATCATGAAACTTTAATGTTCTTTACAAACAAATTATTTCCTATAAGAGGACTTTTTTTGACACTAAAGCTGTTTATCATGGTGCAGTCATTTAAGATATATTTATCTGGCTAAATTGATTATTTTAAGTTTCAGGCAAATTCCATATGGTTGTACATTGTACCTCATGGGATCAGAAGCTTAATGAATTATATAAGGGAAAAGTATGGGAACCCTCTTGTCATAATCACTGAAAATGGTAATTCTCCACCAACAAGACGACAGATTTTCTTTTGATAAGTGAAAATTTTGGAGCAGAAAAGGGCGTAAGCTCGTATTTGGTTTTCGTTAGAATTTTTTTTGTTGCAGTTTTGTTCTTCACCTTCATACTATGCAAACTGCGTGTCATCATAGCATTCGTTTCTCTTTTTTTCGATGATTTTTTTTTATCAGGAATGGATGATGGAAATAGTCCATTTGTTTCCATTGAGGATGCTCTCAAGGACACAAAGAGGATCAAATACCATAATGATTATCTCACGAACTTGTTGGCTGCTATTGTGTAAGTTTCAGCAAATTATTCTCAATAAATTTGCAGCTCACTATATAAGTATCTTTTTACCATTCTGTTCAGTTAACCACTTCAACTACTAGAATATCCAATATAACTAGATCATCCGCTTCAATTTTCTTGTATGTCTTCTAACTTGTTCGACTAAGATCACATGAGCTTCTTTATATCTAAACAAGACACCCAAATCATGGTTCTCTTAGTTTATCGTCAATCGGCGTGTCCTTCACATGTTAGCATATTATTCATTTCTCATCTATCTTATGGCCACACTTCCATCCTTAACGTCCTCGTTTCTGGTACCTTAATCCCATAAAACACAACTTTGTCTAAAAACAATTCCGCATAACTTACCTTAAACTTGAAAACCGACAAATAAAAGGTAATCCTAAATTTTTTTCTTGCATCTTTTTTCTACTAATCTATCCATCAAATGATACTTCTGTCCTAATTAGTTTGACATTACTGAAAATGCAGAGAAGATGGTTGCAATGTGAAAGGGTATTTTGTATGGTCCCTTTTGGATAACTGGGAATGGGCTGCTGGATTTGGCTCCAGATTTGGTCTATACTATGTGGACTATAATAACAAGCTCAAAAGATATGCAAAGGATTCTGTCAAGTGGTTCAAGAATTTCTTGTCTTCATAGATACAATTGTGCTCCCTGGAATTGCTGCAACTGTATCACACAACACACACACACACACACCAAAAAGATACAAGATTACAGTACTACAAAAACACACTCATTCCTCGTGTTTGTTTAAGAACAGATTCCATAAATTTGCTAAGTTAGAGAGACTTATTTCACACGCGTCTTGCTGCCTTCAAGTTACATATATAATAACTAAACCATGTTGAAAAATTTCAAGAATGTTGATGAGGTGATGTTCCCCAGAAAACTTGTGCTTATTTGCAACCTTCAAATTTATGCTTATTAGATTCATGTTCGCTTAAAACTGCTAGTGCATGGTGTCAATGACAAGTAGTGATAATGGATATGAGTCCAGTGTTGATTGCTCGACGATTGTTTACTTATAGTAAATTTTACCTACTTTTATCTCTAAATGAAGGAAACTAAAAAGGAAGAATTGTTTAATTTTGATTTTTAACAGAAGACAACTAAAAAAATCATAAATCAATAACTTAGGAGACTAGGAGAGAATCTCAATCTCCGACTCCACCTATTTTTTTTTTCACTTTAATTCATATAATAATGTAATTGATAATATTCAATTGTGTTGACGAAAACATGTCCTTAAATTATGCAACAATTACTCTTGAGTAGAGTTGAACCTATTATTCTGTATGAATTTTCTATATCTCTATGAGAATTGAGAATACAAAATAATATAGCGTATATCTATATCCCCCATCGGAGTCTATGTTATTCTATTAAGCCTCTGTTTGGGGCTCATTTTCTTCCGGCAATTTAGAAAAAATTGGACAGTTGGAACAGGTTCAGCAGACAACCAATACAATATTCACTGTAGCATCAGCAGACACAACAGTGCAGTGTGACGATTTTACCCTTTCATTGTCATGGACAGCAATGGAAACTAGCACATGCAAAAGGGCAAAACCGGGATAAGAGGGAAAAGTGGACAATCAAATAATGAGTTTTTTACTGTAGCAAAGTCTTGATGTGACACAAAAAATGTATTTTTATTGTAAGAATGCCTACCAAACGGAGGCTAAAAGAGCTAAACACATATTTTACCTTTTGGTATCAACAAGGTTCTCAAACAATTCTACAATTTGATAGATAATAAAAAACTGATAAAATTATATCGAGTAATTAAGAACAATTCAACCTGGAGTCCAACAAGAAATTATAGAATTAAAGCTTCAAGATTATGTTTATATCATCGTCCCAACTATAAGAAAATTAGCCAGGCATTTCAAAATTACATCACAAGATGAGAGAACGACATCACCATGTGAAGAAAAGTAGAAGAATTATAGTCTCTCCTAATCTCTCTTATAAGGAAAGAGTCTCCTTCAAAAAGCCCTTATAATACAATCTTCAGTGCTTGTTTGAGCCCCTTTTTTGTGTCAAAAAATGTATTTTCGAATAGTATATTAATAGGAAATGTGTGGTTAAAAATAAATTTTTTTTTTTAGATTTGTGTGTAATAAAATTTTATTGAAAATGTGTTATTAAAATGCATTCTTTTTTTTCATAAAATGGGGGCTCAAACAACGGCTAAATAATTTTAGATGAATATATCTGAATCAAATTTTGTTCTAATTTTTGAACAATACTACTTGTACAATGAATTTGACAATAAGTTTGACAATGTGAGAATGACATGCATTATGTCCATTGATTTGAAAGATTATTTTTGAATTCAATGACAATGATCTATACACCTTACATATTGTCAAAATCATTGTGCAAATTCATTTTTCAAGTAATTTAATTCCTAATTTTTAATATTTTTCTAGTGGATCGGTCCGAGTTAAATCGTTATGATTGCACACAAATAGTCAATCGTTACCGAAGCCAAATTTTATATCCTAACCTATTAATTAGCTTATGACACGTGTAGTCTTTAAACGGGTCCATCATCTATACGTGACAGTAATCTATTCGGATCCTCGTCGTTCGACAAAAACAACCGAAACACTACGAAGATTTTCCCCAATTCTCTTCCTCCAAATTTCTTGAAAACCACCTTCTGTATCATTAATTGTGCTCTATCTTTATCCAATTTGGATTTTTCCGCTTTCAATTGACTCAGATTTTGTTCCCATTCATCGAATCTATAAATTTCTAGGTTTTCGCTTTCAATCCTCAGATCTGTAAATACAGCCTTCTAATCTGTAAATTTGTGCGATTTTTGTTATCGATTTTTTGTTCTCTTCTTTTCCCCTCTAGTTGTAGACAGAATTTATTGTTTTTTTGGAGCCTTTCTGAAACCTAGGATTTCTAATTCGAGGATTCATCTTAGGGCTCATCGGTTCTGTAAATTGACTTGGGGTTCCGGTATGTCCCTTTCTGAATTTCATTTCCGTACTTTGTAAGGAATATAAAATTGGGGAATTTTTTTAGCCCTAATTTTATACAATAAATTTATTTGTAGGTTATCGTGAGCTGTAAATCGATTCGCACTTCAAGAGTTCTGGTTGCGTTTGACGTCAATTTTTTTGAGCATGAATTATTTTTTCCAAAAAAAAAATGAAGTTTACTATAACCTCTATTTATCTTGGAATGTTCTCTTTACAATAAAAACCAGTTTATTATAAATATTGGCTTCCAGCTGGTGTTAGCAATAACTAATTATGATTTTGAAAAAAGCAACATAAAATGTATTGCTGTGTAAATTAAGTGTTAGTTTTTATATTAGCTAATGTTATGAAGAAATAAATTATGAACTTTATAATTCATAATAGTTTTGAAGCATGGGTTTCTTAGGTTGAATCTATTTTGGTGGTACTGCTGGTAATTAGCAGTTGCTGTCATTAACTAAATTTTGATGGAATCTCAGTTCTAGTCAGTTGCATCATTTTTAGCATTACCTCATTACGACAAAGCAAATTTATGTATTCTTGTCACATTTATTTTGATCACACGGTTTTGGGAAAGTGGTTCGTTTGATGTCTAGCGTGAGGTTTTGGATAGCATTCCTTGCCTAAATTGAAGCTTATTGCCAATTTTTGAAAAGGCACTTGCATTGCATACACGCCTTGCTTTAAAATTTCTTCCCTTTCTTTTCCACATATGATTAACATGTTATAACATAACTTGTTGCATGTGTTTACGTATATGAATGTATAGCATTAACTGTCTGCACTTCTATTTAACGTCATGAATGTATCACATCCTTGCCAGTGCTTGTATTTTTTCTGTTTATTCTCTTCAATATCTTTTATTTTATCAATATGGCTGATTTCAAACTTAAAAGAGTATACACAGCAGCATTAAGGCATTCATTATGCCTCTATGGAGTATGGAGATTTTTCTAAGCCTTTTCTGTTCTTGCATCTGATACTAGATCTCTTAATTCGTTAATCAATAATTATGACATGTTACAGGTCATAATTTCATTTTAAATATTGTAATTTACATTATTCTGTCCTGCAGTAGAAAAGATGGGAACCAAACGACCGTTTCAAGAGGATGACTTTCCAGAGCTTTCTTTCAAGCATGCTGAACAGCTTGGTTTTAATAAAAAATTGAATTCATATTTTGAGGATTTTTCTTCTTGTAGAACTTCTCCAAAATCTGATACTGTAGGTAAAATATGCTATTTACTTTTTGCATACACTGATATATAACTATCCAATATGATGTTTATCGAGTAAGGAATATCCATTGAGAAGCTTGATTATATTTTACTTTTGATTCTCATACTTAAAAATAAGAAGGTACCATTTCTTTTGACTTGTATAATTAGTACCTTTCCCAGTCTCCAGTGAAGTTTATATGCATCAAATTAAGCATTTGCCACTGTAACTTGATTCAAGTCAGACAATTTTTGTCCTCTTTTTGTTTTTTTAATCATAATTGTGCCATAGGTGTAGCTGAGAGCAACTTCTGTAAATACAAATTTGATGAGAGGCATGGAAATGCTGACATCAGCAGTTACTCCAATATCGATGAAATGGAGTTAGAGATGAGGACACCCTTATCATGGGTTGCAAACAGCAGTATTGACGAAGATTCCGCATTCGAGGACAAGTTTTGCTGGTCTCATTTTCAACGATATTTCGACTGTAGTGTTCCAAGACGACTCCCTGTTCAGTTCCAGGATCCTTATTCATTTTTGTTGAATTGTTCTCCGAGGAAAGAAATTCCTGTTGGACGAGATCATCAGGCTGAAGTTCCGCCATGGGATCCGAATGTGACCTGGAAAGATACTTTAAGTCCCAGCTACTTTGTTGACAATGAAAGTGAAGAAAAACTGATGGGAACATGTATCATCCCAATGCCAAATTTAAAGTTTGATGGGATCAAAGAAGTGCATGGCCAAGCAGACTGTAGCTGCCTGGATCGGGGTTCCGTAAAATGCGTACAGCAACACGTAAAGGAAGCACGAGAAAAATTAAGAGAGACAATCGGAGATGAGAATTTCGTGGAGTTGGGATTTCTCAATATGGGAGAGAAGGTAGCATCCAACTGGACTGAAGAAGATGAACAAATTTTTCATCAGGTCATTTACTCTAATCCAGTGTTGCTTGGTAAAATTTTTTGGAGAAACCTTTCTGCGATGTTCCCAACTCGAACAAAGAAGGAAATTGTCAGCTATTATTTTAATGTCTTCATGCTCCGGAGACGGGCTTTACAAAACAGATATGATCTGTTGGCAATAGATAGTGATGATGACGAATGGCATGGTGCTGATGGAGGATTCTATCAAGGTGGAGAAGAAGATGAAGACTCTATAGTCGAATCTTTTGGTGATCAAGATGTTCACATGAGCCGTGGGAACGACTCTTCGTCTGAAAATGTATGCAGATACGAGGTGAAGGATTGTGGTAATGGCATTTTTTATGGGAACGGGAATGGGGAACAGGGAGATGCTATTGATTTGGATAGTAAAAGAGTTTAAATGTTCTGATAAAGAAACTGAGATGTGGCATAAGTTTTGTCATCCTATAATGAAATTGTGAACGGTAGAAAAATCTTCTTACTTGTCTAAGTTTTGAATGAATCTTTTTATCATGGGTTTCAAAGAACCTTCGGGTTAAATAAGCACCCCACCACCCCAAAATCAAGAAGAAGTGAAGGAGTAAGGACTGAAACCCCATTTGTAGAGTTCCGAGTCTCAGTGTAATAATTTTTTTCTTCGGAAGAGAGAATCAAAACAAATTATTGCATGATGCATCATCGAGGTGGGATATGTAATTATCAAGGGCATACTTCATCACTAAGACAGTAGCTTGTATTTCAAATTCTAGAATAAATATCTAAGGCTATGTTTGATAGCCAAGGAATTCCATGGAAGTAGGAAAACGTTTTCCATTTTCCCCAAATTGTGGTGTTTGATAGCACAAATTTTTCTAGGAAAATATTTTCCACATTTTTCTAGGTACAATCATTTGATGCACAAAAACTTGATTTTGTTTTCCCACCTATTTGGTGGGAAAATATTTTCCACTTTTTTTTTTTTGTTGTTTGCAATGGGAACAAATTCTAGATACAATGGTTAAAAAAAATTTCACTTTTATTGGCAACTTCCATGCAAAACAAAGTCAAACGAAAAATATTCGGTATGGTAAAATTTTTTTTTTTCAAAATTTTTTTTCAAAATTTTTTTTTTACAATTGGAACAAATTTTAAACCCAATGGTAGAAAAAATTATCACTTTAATTGACAAATTCCATAAAAAAAGAAGCCAAATGGATACCAAACTTTCAACATTTTCTATGGAAAATTATACCAATCAAACACAATTAATTACAATTCCCAGTAAAACATTTTTTAGGAAAATCAATTTCCTGTAAAACATTTTCTTTCCACCCATTTTCCACCTTTACAATCAAACGGACTCTAAGTGCAAGCAAAAATGAGTCGTCAAATGGAAATATTATCTTGTCCTATTCCAGTGTCCATTTAAATGAATTTATTAATAGCTTACGTAAAAAAAAATGTTGGGTCTATTTTACACTCACAGAAGACAACGCTTCAATGTTTCTTGTGGGCATAAGTGGTAAGAGACATGGGGCTGTAGATTCCCTCAATTATCAAAATTCACAATTATTGACTCCAAGGTTTTCTATTTGGTCCCTCAAAAACAAAGTAATTGATATTTTAAACAACAATATTTCCCATGAAATATAGGGAGAGGTAATGTCCATTTCCAAGTAGAATGACAACGGGATGAAACGAAGGTAATCCTTTCCTGTCACACGCAATTCCCAGAAGGTGGAATGGGGATGAAGATATCCTTATTTTTCATCCCGTTTACTTATTTATTTTTTTTATTTTGTCTTTTTGTAATACGATTTTGTTGGAAAACTTCAACGTGTGGGGTCCCACACACACACACACACACACATAAAATGTGTGGTGCTATTTTAAAGCTTAGTCAATAAAGTGATCCATTAAAGCTAATTTTGAACTATTGAGTATTAAATGTCATGGAAATAAAGTGTAGAGACCAGAATGATTATTTTAAATTGATGAGGAGTCAATTTAAAAGAACTAATAACTGCTTAATTTAGTTATATATCATTGGTTATGGTTCCCAATTGAACGTGAATTTTCCATCTCTCTGCATCCCATCAACAGAGAAAAATTCCTAAGTAACGACGTATTAATTGAAAGATCATAACCCGTTCAAGTAATTACATTTATGGATTAAGGTACGCTTCCGCTACTAATCTTCTCTTTGATTTCAATATGGAGGATTTATATGCATATGAAAGGGTTTGATAAAAGTTTTGCTTAATCCTTTTCAATTCCTGCAAGTGGTATCGGAGCCACTCTGTTGTTGAATCTTTGAGAAAATGTAAAAAATAAAGGTTTTAGCAATTCTGAATTTTGGATTATTTGATCTTCTTTCATGTTATTATTTGAAATTTGGCATGTCGCCATGGATAAAGATTACTTCAACATTCAATTCCAGTGCAAATAACATTTTTTTGCAGATTGTGTAAGACTTATTTCTAATTAGAGCATCTGTGTTTTTTATTTTGTTGTTGAAGAATAATGATAAAGATGTTTGGGAACTAAAGTATATTGTATAAATAGATGGAATCTGGGGAAAATATTTATACAGAATAACTATAAAATAATTTTGGTAACTTAGTAGGTAGTGTAGTTTATGCCATGGTGTTGCCACATGTGCAAGCAGCAAACGACTATCCGGTAGCTATTATCATTGGTTTTTCAATTAAAAAAAAAATACCGTCATTTTTTTCTGTGCATCTTTTGATATATATGCGTTGTGGTCATTAAAGTTATGTTTTACTAACCAAATTATTTTATTTGTTCATGTTCTACTGCATATGAGTGTTCATTCTTGCTGCGTTAAATTCAAATATTTTGGTAAATCATTTATGATAAATTAAGATTGTCTGACATTTTAAATAAACTAATTTAAACAAGATGTCACCAAAGTCACCTCTCTTGTATAGATTGGTTTGTTTGGGGTGTTTAGATGTTTGTGTGTGCGCTTGTTCATGCGGGTATTAGCCGGCCCAAATGAAGGTTAATATTTGGCCGAATTGCATAGACTTGTGGTGGTGAATGTGTGACAATTATAAAGTTTCCATGTGAATCATAAATCAATCCAAAGAGAATTAAGCTAAATGAACATAATGCTTAACATAGGGGTTGACTGACCACTCACATTGCATGTGGGTCCCGACCTGAATTAAATAGTACTGACCTCCCCATGTGTGTGTGTTGTGTCATCCCCTATGTCAAACATTATGTTTGTGTAGCAAAATTCATCCAAATAAGGATTTATTATTTGACAGGAATCATTGTCAATGTTTGATTACTATTCCAATAGTTACTTGCAATTAATATTATTATCCAAAGATTTGATATTAATGTTGTGTTAGGTATCTTGAGAGGCTTACCATTATTTGAATTTATTGATTATAGAGTGTGGATATTGATGTGAGCATGGTTGTTTGTTTATTTTGTTCTCTATACGGCTAGTTCATCCGCTACTATTATATCTGTCAATGTTAACTCTATTCCCATGCTTAATGGGATAAACTTCAAGGATTGGAAATATAACATATTGATTGTTCTTAGCTGCATGGATCTAGACATTGCCCTTCGGATTGAGCAACCTACTCCTCTTACGGAAGAAAGTTCACCCGATGACAAGAGGAACTTTAAGAAGTGGGATCACTTAAATCGCATAAGTCTAATGATCATTAAGCGCAACATTCCGGACTTTTTAAAGGTACAGTATCCGAAAAAGTAACTAATGCCAAGGAGTTCTCGTTGAAATTGAGAAGCGTTTTGTGAAAAACGATAAGGCTGAAATAAGCACGCTTTTGCAAAACTTGATTTCGATGAAGTATAAAGGCAAGGAAGGGGCTAAAGCTCGAGCTGCCAAATGATTTGCTCGTACATTTAGTATTGATCTTTCTTCCTGTACAATTCAGTCAATTTAAGATCAGTTATAACTACCAGATGGAGAAATAGTCTCTAAATGAGCTCATTTCATATTGTGTGTAAGAGTTAAAAAGGTTAAAGCAAGAAGAACTGAAAGCGCTCACTTGACAAACACTTCTAAGGATAAAGACAAGAAAAGGAAGAATGAATATGAAACTGCTCCTAAGGGTCCAGCAAAAAAGAAACGGCATGAAGACAATGGGACTTGTTTCTTTTGTAATAAGATTGGAGATGTGAAGAAGGATTGTATCAAATATCACGCCGGCATGCAAAGAAAGGTACAATTCTTACTTTGGTTTGTTCTGATGTTAATTTAGTTTTAGTACTTACAAACACTTGGTGGTTAGATTCTGGTGTTACTACTCACATAAGTGTTTCTATATAGGGTTGTCGAGCTACCGAAAGCCAAATGATGGTGAAAGATACATCTATATGGGTGATGGTGAATCGGTGGAAATTGTTGTAATATGCACTTTTAGGTTGTTATTAGGAATTGGTCATTATTTGGATTTGAAAAACACCTTCATTGTACTGTCTTTTAGACGGAATTTAGTTTCTGTTTCTTTATTGGACAAATCTGGATACATTGTTCATTTGGAAACAAACAGTTTAGTCTTTCGTTAAATTTCAATGTTATTGGTATTGGTTCATTAAGTATATATGATAACTTATATTTGCTTGATACTGTTGCATCATATAATAAAATCTTGCTTGTTGAATCACGTGGTACTTAATGCAAATTAAAGAAAGAAAATTCAGCAAAATTATAGTACAAGCGCTTATGTCACATCTCAAAAGCTAGAGTTGAACGACTTGTGTCAGATGAGATTTTGGATTCCTTTGACTTCACGAATTTTGATGTATGTATTGATTGTATCAAGGGAAAATAGACCACAACAACTAGATTAAGTGCTAACAGAATTTCGGATGTCTTAGAATTGATACATACAGATATTTGTAGATCATTCCCTACGACTTTTTGGAATGGTCAACAATATTTTATATCATTCATAGACGATTACTCACGTTATGGGTACCTATATCTTATTCATGAAAAGTCTGAGTCACGGATATGTTCAAAGCTTTTAAAACTAAGGTTGAGAATCAACTCAACAAAATGATAAAGAGCGTTAGGTCTGATTGTGGTGGTGAATACTATTGCAGATATGACGGTTCAAGTGAATAATGTTCAGGACCATTTGCTAAATTCCTAAAAGAATGTGGAATTGTCATACAATACACCATGCCGGATCGCCTAGCATAGTGGTGTAGCTAAAAGACAAAACATGACTCTTAATGATATGGTAAGGAGTATGATTAGTTATTCCACCTTACCAAAATCACTCTGGGAGAAGCATTAAAGACTATAGTTTATATTCTGAACAGAGTACCAACTAAGGTCGCTACCAAAACACCTTATGTGCTTTGGACAGGTGAGAAACCTAGTCTAAAACATTTCACATTTGGGAT